GGGGGCGGGGGCTGTGGGAAAGGCCGGGCGGGCGCAGGCCCATTCACGGCCAGGAACCAGGGCTTTGAAATCCGAGCCCGGGCGCTGCCAGACTGGTCGGGCGAGCGGGCCGGCGGGCGCGGGCGCCACCGCGGATCGGGGTGGCGCTGGGGCGGGGCCTTCCAGCCCTCCGGCGGGAGTGGAGGTGCGGTGGGGTCCTGGCGCCCAGAGACACCTAGCCTTAGGCTTTTGGTTAGGGGGTGGGGACTCGCACGCCTTCCAAGACGAGCAGGGGAGATTGGGGGCGTCGGTACCTTCACACCCTCATACATAAGTTCTTTGGTTTCTTTTCTGAGTGGCGATGTCATCCGGATGGCAAGCCTGATGCGAAGGGCTTGGAGGGACAGTGGTCTCCTGGCCCTGAGACAGGCTTCTCAGTGACTGGGGCGTGCGGCAGGGCAGTGCAGTTCTTGAAGCCTGGGCAGTGCGTGGGGCCATACACAGGGGCAGGTGGGTGACAGCAAGCTCAGCCCGTCGTCCTGGAGACTCCTGACAGCCTACTCATGGGCTGCTGCTTGCTGGCTCTGGAGAAAGGCAAGCATTTCTCCAGAGTCTGCAGGAGTCACTTGAGGTTCACCAGGCCAAGCCAGGGCTTCCCAAAGCCTGGGACAGGTGATTCCTGGGCTACAGGCTAGAAGCAGGGAGGCTTCTTGACTTTCGCTCTCTTCCTGGACTGGCCTTTCTACCCGCTGCCCAGAGATCTTCACGCAAAGCGCCCGGCAGTCTGCAGTTCCTTTCTGTCCAGAAAATCCCAAGGCTCAATCCCACCTGCTCAACGGGGACATGTCCCAGTAGCCCCAGGGAGTTCAGGGTGCCAGGACAGGCCTGGAGGAAGGAGCAGGACATAGTGGTGGAGAGCAGGGCTCAGGCCCTGGTGGTACAGCCAGTGAGAAACCAGGCCTCTTGGACAGGCAAGGCCCCGGGGCAGTGGCAACATCTGGCTGCATTGGGAAGGAGCAGGCAGGAGCAGGTTAGTGTTTCTGTCACTTCTTTATTCGAGCGGGGAGAGGGCTGCACATTTACTCCCTAGAGATCTCTGCGCTGGTCCCCTGTGCATACAGGCTATATACACACCTATGTACGTGCACATGTCACGTGTGTATGCAGAGTAACACAAGGCTGGGGTGCAGGTGGAGCTCCAGCTCAATTCACAGAGGGGCGTGAGAAAGACTGCTGAGGCTGCAGCCCCAGGTGGGGCTGCCAGCTGTCTGAAGCCAGGGTGCACCTGACAGCACTGAGGGCTGGGGTCTCAGAGGAGCAGGTGGATACAGCACCCACCCCACTCCTTGTCCACCCTGGGCTGGTCCTCAGGCTCCCAGGGAGGCAGCCTGACGCCCCTGAGTGCTTCCCGGGTCCCTCGCTGGGCCCTTCACTGTGCTGCACCAGCAGTGTGTCAAAGGACTACCCGCCGGTCCAGGTGATCCCCACGCCCGCTCCGCTGGTGCCGCACTTCCAGGTGCTGGTTCTGGACCTTCTCAAAGTGCTGCAGCAGCTCTGTGTAGTCAATGCTGGTGGAGTCACCTTTCTGGGATTTGGGGGCCGCCTTCAGACTGTCTCTGGTGAGATAAGCAGAGGGCTGAGTCAGTGTCTGTGGGCAAGGGACTGCTGGTGGGGCTCAGTCCCAGGGGATCTGTCAGCCCACACTGGGAACCTCTCCCCAGCAGACAGCCCCTAGGAGCCGGGAGCCCCACGTGTACCCCCTCTTCTGCAGCCAGTGGGAACGGCCAGCCAGCCAGCACTGCTGCTTGGAAATCACTCAGGCTGTGGGCTGGCAATGGCACCCAGAGCAGGCATCAAATGGGGAAGCATTTCCTGTTTACCAGTGGCTCCCTTTGGGGTGAAAGCCAGGGCTAGCAGCCAGCCAGGAAGCCAGCTGGGGATTGGAACAGGGTCTGGGGAAAAGGGGAGGAGGAGGCAGCCTGGTTTTTTTCTCTAGGGTAGTCCCAGGGCTAGGGACACTGGGCCCTTAAATTGGCAGGGCATTTGTTTTTGAGGGTTGAGGCCATGAGGCCTGTAGTTGCTCCTTGTCCCTGAGGAAGGAAAGCTGGTCTTACCATTGGCTGTGCCAGTGGTTCCTACACTCCTGTTGCTACCATCCAGGTGTTCTGTACAGCAGCAGAGGCTAGACATTGCCTACCACAGCGTGCATGCTATCTCCACAGTTGTGCGGCGCAGGAAGCAGCTGTACTGCCTCAGGGCCGGTGTGTGGTCTACCCTAGGTGACCAGATCCCCTTGGGTCTGTCCCATTCCTAGTGGTCCCTCCACCACAGCCTCATAGTGTTGTTTTTTTCCTCTATGGCCTGGGACAAGCAGATCTGTGTGGATGGGAAGCATATGCTTCCAGCCAGTAGCCTGGTGTCCCTGCTGAGGGGTTCTCAGCATGGAAGGCTGTTTAGTTAGGCAGAGTCCTTGAGCCTTTGAGTTCAGGGAGACCTCAGCAGGGGGAAACACGATGTGGCCCCCCACAATACCACCTCATCAATGAACATGGCTCATCCCTAAAAGACAGGATCACAGGCTGGAAGGTGGGCTCCTGGGTCCACCAGGTTGTGGGCAGGAGGGCAGGGGTTGCTTTCCACAGCCTCTTGAAATGCTATGGCCTGATCGGTTCTTCCCAAATGGCTTTCTAAAAACAGCCTGGCTCCTGAGCTGGCCCAGCTCATGGCTGTTTCAACAAAGATGGGGATCTGCTGGATGGACCCTGGGTTCCCAATGTTACTGCTGCCTCCCCTGGGGACAGGGAAGAACTTCTGTGGTACAGTAGTCCTGTGGCCAAGGGGCTGCTGCCCCACGAACAGCCTTGGTATATGTGTGAGGAGGCTGAGGGGCACCCGAGCTTGGAGTTCTAACTGCTGCCTAACCTACTCAGGCCGGACAGGTCATGAAGCCCCTGGATGGGCCTGTAGGCTGTCCCTGGCTTCACATCTGGCACACTCAAGGGTGGGTTGAACATGAAGGTGCCAAGGCAGGGCAGGGAGGAGAGGGCTGCATCCTTTCTCTGGGACCTCAGTGTGACAAAAGTGCTACCCCTAAATCAGGGGTAGTAGCTCACACCCATAATCCCTACATACTGGAAAGCTGAGGCAGGAAGATCACAAATTTGAGGCCAACTTGGGCAATTTAGTGACTAAGAACCTCAAAGAATAAAAAAAGGGCCGAGTATGTGAAGGTCCAGGGTTCAACCTCCAGTACCACACATGTGCACACACACTCCTGCCCTGGCGACAGGCAGACTCTTCCTGCCTGGCTGAGGTTCTGAGGATGGGAAAGGGACGTGAAGCTTGGTCTCTGGAGCACGGCCCCTCCCTACCACAGGAGTGGGCGTGGCCAGCGCTCAGCTCTGAAGTACTTTGCAACTCCACTCAGGCTGTGGGCAACAGGGCTGCTTGGCCCGCAACACAGAGCTGGCACACTCTTCTGCTACCCCTCCATGCCCCTTCTGCCTTGCTGAGAAGACGGCTTGTGGAGGCGGTATGGCAGCACAACGCCACGGTTTGTGGGATGCAAGCCCAGAAGGGGCACAGCTCCCCCAGCTGTTCCCAGTACATAGCTTGTTGGCTTCACCACGCTGTCTGCCTGCCCAGGACTGTCCTCAGCCTCCTTCCCTAAGTGTGAGCTGTCCCTCCATGCCCAACCCTGCCATCTCATCCCTCCCCAGCTGTCTCTGCATCCCATTCCTTGCCCAAAGCCCCTGTGCCTGTAGTGGGGGCTGTCTCTTCCCAGGCCCTCGTGAGAAAAGGCTGGGTACCTAGGGTTGGGAAGAAGCCCCATGCCATGGACTCCAGATGTGCATTTTATGATGAAGAAACCAGGAGCCTGGACCAGTGGTTTGCCTGAGGCCACATAACCAATATATGGCACAGCCTGAACCAGATCCTAGCCCAGGACTAGGAACCACCCACGGGCCCACAGAATTCTCTACCTTAAGCCTTGGGTTAAGACTTCCTATACTCCAACCATGGGAGAGGCTGAGGAAATCCTCATTTTCTCAGCTTTTGCTGCAAAGGTGTCCTACTCTGGCTTAGGGAAGCTGGCAGGGGTCTAACTTCCTGTCCTTCCTAAGATGAGATGCAGCATCCAGAGCTCGGGAGCCCTCTGGTTCCCATGGGGAAGCTACCTGCTTTGTCTCCTACTCTCACTTCAGTGTCTGCCAGGTGCCCTTAACACCTACTGGGTGGCAGCAGGGCCACTGCCTAGGCCAGGCTGGTGAGGCCAGTGTGGCTGCAGGGCCTTTCCACGGGATCTCTGGAGCTAGAGGTGCTCTGGATGGAGGGTCAAATGTAAATCCAACACTCAGTTGCCTTGCTGCTCCTCTGGGGCATTCACTGTGCTGTTTCCTGGGCTCACCCAGGTGGCACCCAGAGTGGAGGAGACACAGATGGCCAAGGTCAGGCTGTACCAGCTGGGGCACTGCTGGCTGGGGAAGGGAAAGGGGAGGCAGGGCCCAGCCTATCAGGTGGCCTGGTCTGCCCCTGAAGGGCTGGTCGGAACCCAAGCCTGGTAGTCCAGCTGCTTGGAGTGCCAAGCAGGCCCACCTGAGGTGGCCTGAGTCCACTTCAAGGGCAAGTGCTGGGGCCCTTTGCTGGAGCACAGTGCCAGGCCTGCTGTGTGCCCCCAACAGCCTAGGAGGGAATTCTAGACACACAGGGCATCTGATGCAAGCTGGGTGCACTCCATTCAGCGTAAATCTTCTCAGTGCTCTGCTGGTTTCCATGGCGACCTGACAAGTGAAATTTTCCATCTCGGATGCCAAATGCCT